GAATTGGGACAGCCTTCGTCACGGTGACGTAATCGGCCTTAAAATGCAGCCTTTAAGGCTGCAGACCCTGGATTGGGACACAGCCTCTGTGTGACAGACTGGTGACCTGTCCAGCGTGTAGCCTCGCCCTGTGATAGGCTTCAGGCCCTCATCATCCTGGTAAAGATGAGCGGGAGAGAATGGATGGAAGAACCGCTCCACATTTACCAAACGCATTAAAAACATCCTCACACATGCATGTAACAGCTCAAAACAAAGAAACGACACAAAAGGAGCTGACCACGCTTCTGGGAATCAGAAACAAGCAAAGAAACAGGGTATGGAGGCCTATCTCCCCCCACCACTCCCCCTGCCGGGGGCAGACTTCCTCAGACATCGGTGCGTTGGTGGTTCTTTGTTTACGGGGATGGGCGTCCAGGTACACACCGGCTCAGATCATTACATGAAGGAACCTTTTAAAAACAAGCGCGTCCATGCTCACAGGTGTACACACGGGTGCTCACACACACAAACTACACCCTTTTTGGCTCCTACCTCAAAGCACACTGTGCTGTCGATCTTACGTGCTGCACAATAATGTTTAATATTTAGTATTTACTGTCATATTCACACAGATCATCGTGATGTTGTTTATTATGTTGCTCTTTTTTCTTTCTCAGCAGGTGATCCAGGTGATTGATAGATGTGTTTTTGTCTGTTTGTTTTGTTGGTTTTTGCCCTTTATCCCTCTGCCCCGCTGTTTTCTTTCTCTTTCTTTCCCCAGTCACGTCTGTGTAGCAAGTGAAAATGAAATGAAATAAACAATAAAAGGTGAATCAAATAGACCAATACAGCAAGGCTGGGATGGTCCACTTGGTAAAGTAAATCCGTTCTTTGCCTTTAGACAATAATTCTGATGCAAAAGAGCCAAACGGGACAGGCGGAGAAAAAGAAACGAGCAAAGATAAAACCTCAAACAATGAGAGAAATCCTGACCTTATGGCAGTCAAAACACGTGAGGACAGGCAGCTCCACCCGTGGGATTTGGTGGAGCAGGAAATTTGCATCATTGATGTGCAGCTGACACATGTGCAGCAGCTGCGATGCTGTCAGCAGTTTGATATTTGATGAAGATCTCGATGGATGCTCAGGAGCTCAGAGGAAGATCATCCTGTTTGTGTGGACGTTGTTTTCAGTGGGAAAAGGATGAAAGAAAGTTCGTCTCCCTGCTGAGAGCCTCGTGTCAGTGCACGGGTCTGCTGAGGACTTTAAGCCCCGGCTGTTTGTAGAAGAACACTTCATGACCTTTCACCTCACCTGTCTGCTTCACAAACTGTGGAAAGCAGAAATCATATTAACAAGTCTGCGAACAGCAGTAATCTGCATCCAAGTTTCAACTACAGGAATGAACGAAACACGTGTGTGTGCTCATCCTGTGCTGTGGTGCAGAGGTTGGGACCAAGACTGTTTAACCATTCGACACGACA